TTCAGCCACTACCGTTTCAGCAAACCAAATTCATAGAATCAACAATAAGCAGCCAAAGTGGCCCATTAGTTGGCCAATGCAATTTATCAATCACCACCCGACCATGTTATTTGTATTATCCATCAAGCCGTTAACCAAAATAAACACAAAAGAATTGTCAATCTACATATTCATCCAAAAAGAACCACTATGACTCAAAACAATAAGGATATGCAGTTCAAGCCCAAGTAGCACAATGAAAATGCAACGTAATAGAAATCCATAGTGAGTGTTATGACATGCTTTTAAAGCAAAAAACACTTTCCTCGTCCTCATGGTACTGAAGTCCATGAGTGAACTAACATGAAGAAAAAATTTGTGTGTGAAGCAAAAGGAATTCTGTATAAGGGTAATGGAATAGCATCTCGTACAAAAGACATGGCATTGTTCATAGAAGCCATAATAAATACCAGCTACATTTGGAATAAAAGGTCAAGAAGCATTTGTAGAGAGTATTTCCAGAGTTAAACTGCCAGAAATAATTACCTGATCCGAGTGTCGGTATATTGGGAAGAGGATGTGTGCAGTAGAACAACATGTGAAATTGAACCTTGATTGCCAAACTTATTTCTAATCTTCTCAAATAAAACATGACTTCGCATCAGTAATTCTATCCATAAAAATACTTAGGGATATCAAAAAATAGAAATAAGTACTGCAAGATTCTCATTCTTGAACTAAAATAATAATATCAAGAATAATAAAAGATGGCAAATGGTTGCATCTCAAGGGGGTCTGAAATCTCTCCTAAACCACAAGAAAGAATGAGAAAAAAGAATTGAAATAGCAAAGAAAAAACTTAAACCAACCGAAATCGTTTAAAGAGGAGTAAAAAGTTTCTGAAGTGGTAATCAAATGCTTAACCGAGAAAAAGACCTCCTTAAATCTACAGAAGAGGATTCCGATTGCATTTGATAATACTAAATATCCAGCATGTGATACCCATTCCATGCATAAAATTTATATCTTGTGAAGCAGGCCAACTTAACTCGATCAAAGCAAAAAGGTTTTTCCACAAAGCATAAGCAATAAGATAATTAACCAAGAAAGAACTAGAGTCTTTCCGGCTCTCTTTAAGTAATGAACACAGAATTCTTTCTGTGGCTCTCTTATGCAATGCACACAAATCTAGGCGGCCTTTTAATTCAATCAGTAGTTAATATCAAGTCTTACATGAGCCACGTACACACCAAAGCATTGATAATTGTCCTTCTCTTTGTTGAACGTTGGTGGCAATTAATCTAGCCAGGTGAAGCAAAAGGTTTATCATTCAAGCAAACATATCAAATGACGTGAATTTGGGGCACTGACATTTAAAATCATCAGGAGACGAACACACTGCACAGTAATTTTACATATGAGAACAATGAGTATGGGTGTACAAACAAAAGCTTCCAAGATCAAGATTACAGTTAACAGATTTCTATCATAAATTCCAACATAAAAGCCTTCTTAACAGAATTAATTAGAATTTCAGAATAAATATGATACTCTAGACTATGGAATCTAATAAAAGACATACATCAAGCCCGTAACACGAAGTGCTCTAGCAAGCGTAAGAACAAAATTTATATTAAAAAAGAAAGAGTGCGTTTATAACAAGTTTAAATCAAAGTACAAGCAAAAGAATAAGATATCCTGCTATGAACTTCAAAGAGAGGCAACAGAAGATGTCCACCAGCATATTTAGAATACCAGTCGCTGTACAACTGGTTAAAAATTTGCTAGAAAAAAACTCCCTGTGTCCCAAGTACTCTGATTTGACTAGTATTTGCTGAATTAATTATATCAACATAACCAAATCTAAATTACACCTCTTATGCTTCCTTTCTCAGAAGTTTAGCCATATCTGACATATGATTCACTCATATTTTGTCTAGACCCACCCACACCAAATTAGTTATTTCAATAGAAGCATTTAGTGTCACATTGCAATGCCTTTGTTGAGGCAAATACTGTCTTAACCATAAAGAAAATCCCATCAAGCAAAAAATGTATTTATAAGCTCTTTTTTTGCATGATTGTCAAACATACTCTTCAATAAAAGATAAAGGAAAGGGGTACCTTCACATGGCAGAAGCCTTTAGTTTTTAAATTCGCAAAACTGCACAGCATACAAAAGGGAAAAGAATAAACACCAGGACAACCACTAACAAAAACATAACCCCATAACCAAAAAATGATGAATAAATGAATTCAATGTTTAGGGTACCACATGGCACAACATCGTACATAACAAAAATTGGCAATTGGTAGAAATGAGCAAATATATAAAGAACTAACCTGCAGAAAGACTCAAACATTGGTAAGTGTAGAACTTATTGTCAATATAATCGGTCATGCAAAGTTGATACACCCAATGCACCTAAAAGAATCTATTTAGCTCAATGGGAAGTCACTTAAAATCATTGAACAATGCATTGTGGCCAGTATATCAAGTGATCAATTTACCAGCTAGTATCTCGACGCATGTTTTTATTTTCTCAAAAAGGACTCTAAGAGCATCTGTAAAAGATTAGCTAAGGTACACAAAAACTTCAAAATTTAACTATTTTACCTTAAAATTGAACTCCAATAGAACTTCTCCAAAACATCTCAATTAGCATTTTGCTATAGTAATAATTTATATTTAGAATATCACTCTAACAATATATATAAATTATTTATAATATTTTCTCTCCTTTCCTTTTCTTTCCTTCATTCTCCCTCTTTCTCCCTTTCACTATTCCCAAAGAAAAATAATACAAAAGGAATGAGAAATAATATTTAAAGGAAATAGTTAAAAATATAGAAAATCTGTTGGAGTGTGTATTGAAAAAGTGAAGAGCTAAAATAGCAAATATTGCTTTTTGAATAGCTAAACTAACTTTTATTGTTGGAAATACTTTAATAATCCAACAACATAATTAATGGTAGACCCCAAGATCATGGAGAAGACTAACAAAACATAATGAAGACAAAAATTAAACTACAAAAATCAAACATACCAATGGAAGTGTGAGGAACAACTCCAGTGACCTCCAAATGATCATACTGAAGTACATAATGAAATATAGCATACAAAAATTAGGCCCACTACCAAACCCACTTTAATGCAAAACAAAACAAAAATCAAATCGAAAACAACTACTTAAACCTTCTCTATGTAATAATGATGATGTAAACTATTGTGAATTGCCTAAAACCCACCACTATTAGCAAAAAAGATCAATACAATTCCGAATAAATACTACAAATTCACAAACTAACTTATAAAACATTGGTTCAATTTTTATACCCTCTTTTGGTATGCCAAGGTACCATACAACAAATTCCACATCTTTGGTATTGAAACAGTAACAATAAGCTCAATTTCATAATTAGTTTTGTTTTCTTTTTTTAATGTTTTTGGAGCACTTGAACAATATAAAACCAAAGAAACAATCGGTCCGTAAATAACAACAAACAACACAGATTGGCAGCAAAGAAAATTCCAAAAAAATGAATTATAAAGATATGAACTGGAGAGAGAAAGTGAATGTCTACCAGAACATTGAAGCTTTCCAACCTTTGTGTATGGAACCATGAATATATAAAACACAACAATTGATCCCAAAAATAAATCATAACCTACAGCTCAAAGACCATTACAAATCGTCAGACATATTGACACACACGGGAATATACAATCCTATTCAGGCGAAATGACATTCGTGTGAAATTTGCGACAAACTTACCATACGGCTACAAAAATTTCAATAACTTCCATTTTCAGAGAGAGAGAAAGACAACTTCAGAAGGTGTCTTAAGACTATTTAAGAGAATACCAACTTAAAAATAAAAAGATCACACACACAAAAACTAATATTCCAAAACACGCACACAGTCACACATTAATACACCAAAACACAAACATACACTAACACACAAAAGATGCATAGACCAATACCCCAAAAAACACACATTAATACTCCAAAAAAATACACTTATACACCAAAAAAATACACACACTAATATGCCAAAACACACAGGCACAAATACACTAATACAACTATAATACACACACACCCACAAACTAATACACCAACACACATCCAATAATACACTAAAAAAACACATTATTACAATAAAACAAACACACACTCCAAAACACCAAAGCACACACAAATAAACACAAATATGCAAATACATCAAAACACACTAATGCATCAAAAAAACACACATCACACATTAACACACACGCACTATAGTACACCAAAACACACAAATATGTAAATACATGAAAACACACATACTAATACACCAAAACACACGCACTAATGCACCACACACACTAGTACACCAAACACATACGCGTACTAATACACCAAAAAACTCAACACACTAAAAAACCAAAACACAGAGATACATAACAATAGATAAAAAAATACACAAAAAAATACGAAAATATAACTAAAAACACAAACAAATTCACACTAAACACTAGTGTGTGTGTGGGTGTGGGTGCGTTAATGTGTGCGTGTGTTATTATATTTGTCACTACAAAAAAAAAAAATTAAAATAGTAAACACTGGCAAAAACAAAATAAATAATGGCAATTCTAATACTCGGTGTTTGAGTAATGTACCCTAATTCTTTTTCTAATGGAAAACAAATGCCGACACTACTGCTGCACTCCGGTGGCCAGAAAGATATATGTTGGCATTTAAATAAACGCCAGCAAAGAGCCCTCACTATGCCCACACCGTATTTGTGTTTAAGCCATTTTTATATTTTATTTTATTTGTCTACTTTCCAAATAAAATCTGTGAAATTAAATCATACAATCCACATCGACTATAGTTTGTCAATTCACATAAACTTTATGCAATTCCAGAAAGTTAAACTCTACACAATTTATCCACATAAAACCTTAAATTCAAAAACATAATAAATACATGTCGTCATGAAATGAAGTGTCACTGCATGCACCGTGCTAAATCTCAGAGAGCTTCATCTTGAGGGAACCATGAAACTACAATTCTCACTGTTTTCGAGCCCTGCAACTGCAATTAGAATAGATGCAACAACAACAAATTCGGACTAACAACCAAATTGTGTCAATCTGGAAAAAACAGATTACTATGGTGTGAAGGAAACAAACAAGTCATTTATGGCATGCATGATATTCTAGTAATTAGTTTTAGTTTAAGGATTGTACTAAAACAGTGAATTATTGATCTTTAGCGACCATAGTTACTCTTTGTCCAGCACAGTTTGCGGACTGTAGAGCAGACTGCTCTCAATTAACATTCTACTTTATAAATTAGAGGCAGGTGTGCTTTCAACCCCTCTCAACACTCTTCAAACTAGAGAGGGATAGCCAACTTCTCTGACAAAAAGGGTGCTACAATGTTTGTGAATCCTGTATTATTTAGAATTCAGAAGGCTCTTCATTTGAAAGGGCAAGGACAAAAAATCAATTCACTCAGTCGAAACTTTTCCAATAACTTCCTGTGAGACATTAGTTGGATCCCACATTACTTCATATTGTGCTCAAATCACCTTGAGGTTTTCAATCCTGATGGGAATTACTGTTAGGAAGCTTCTACAACAGCGAACACAAGAACTTCACCAACAACATATATTTGGGATGTGGGGTTCTATTTCACAATTAAACTTGAATTAACTGCAATTAATACGACACTAGCTTGAAAGAAATTCTTACAGCATCCAGAATATTGAACCAAAATCAATTGCAACAGCACCACCAAGACTTGGTCCAACTAGTATCATCGGCCTTCTAATGTTAGACTTCCAAAGCTGTCATATAAATGTAAGTAATCCAACTTAGAAGTTCAAACATTGAGGGTTGAATACTAATATAGCTAAAAGGAACATAAAGTGAAGTCCTGCCACTGTGAATGAAGCCAAGTGATAGAAAAATGAAATGCAATTGAACAGGACTACAGAGATTTATGAGAATAACTGGTACAAATGATATCGCATTGATGCTGCATTAAACGAGGGAAGTCTTTAGTAAAGTGAAATAAATTGAGATACAACAACAAAAGACGTGGACCAAAATAAAGCACATCGAAAAAGGGGAAAGTAAAGCTGGAATTATCGTATATAAAGAGCATATTAAAATTAGGGAAAAACCTAAATCAGAGAAACACCATCCAAGAACATCAACAACCCAAATCTCCAAACCAGCCTCTTCGAGCAAGGGGTATGTGCATCCCCATTCTAAACAAGAGCTAAGTACAACATAATAAAGAAGAAGGTTCATAAGGGAACTCCTCTCTTAATTATTCAGTACAAATTTCATATACCACATAGCAATATATTAGAGCTGATATGAAAATACAAATAGAGATTAGTTAACTGCAAGTTACCTGGCAGCAGTATCGACTAAGAGTTGAATATTTCCTCTGGGCCACTTCTCTATTACCTAGTAACAGTAAGAAGGCCTTCATCAAATCATGGATCCAACAATTAAGGTTTTTAATCCATCAAATATCATACATAAGGCTGCAACTTATCACACTTTAGAGAGTAATGAGACAACAAGTATATCACCAAAACCACAACCAGAAACAAAAATAATTGGAATGAAAATGAATTTTGTGCTTGTAAATGGAATGTTCAATGAAAAATCGAGAAGAGTCCTTCACTTGATGTCCATGTAACTGTTTCTACTGCAGCCATTTGTTTATGCATTTTCAACTAACATACCTTACCCAGGAGACAGTTGCAAGTCTTACGGTGCACATCAGCAACTGTGCTAGCAGTGGCAACCTCCCTATGAGAGGGTGCTGGGTCATCGATTTCCACATTCACACTGCATCAGATGTACATCAGTCGTGCCATGAATGCTAAATTTAATGCAGATAATTAGTAGAGAAAACAAAATTATCCTGTTAACAATAGCATCATACCAACAAAAACAGGAAAAAAAATCACTTTGCTATACTCGTATATCAAGAAACATTGTATAACCAAGAAAGTTTGCTACATCGTACCAAGAAATTTTGTATAATCATGGAAACTTACACATTGTTGAATATTACAACACTGGCAATTGGGTCCTGAAAAATATGTTCAAAACATTAATGAGAAAAAGTAAATTATATCTTCTTCATTAGGACCTATCATTACAATATCAGACGAGGTAAGATTAAATTTAAACCTAAAATAAGAACTCAAAACCAGATGTGATGGAGTTTAATGGGCAGTGTACTGAGAAAATACATGACACCATACAAAACAGGAAATGTCCTCAAGACCAGATGTCAAAAAGGAATTATTCAAATAAAGAGATAATGTCGGCATGATGTTTGCTTCGTCATTGCAAGGATGAAGCTTAAGATTCTACGTGTTTTCCTATAATCATTTTTTTTCACCTTCTTGGAAATTATATAACCAAGTTACAATTCACAACCTCACCACAGTTACCAATTTCAAACCCAAACTCTAAGTTTCTAACTTACCACACCTCTAACCCACCCCAAACCTTTTTCTATGTTTGGCCTTAAACCAAAGGTCCTAAAAATGGTGATTGGTGATTGACCTTAATTCTCCATCAATTACTTTATTTATTATTTTATCTTCCCAGAACCTACAGTGTATCAAAGATTGTTAATCCATCAAATATTATACATTCTGGCCTTATAAATCAAAATAAACAATAATTCTAGAAATTCTAGAAAATTTATCTCACAGTTCATAGTACCTTGCAATTTCATCCTCTTCAGTTGATATACCTAAGTTTATACACAATACTTGTGTGATGATAAAAATAATACGAAACAAAAGATTGTGGTTCAAATCATGAAATATAACAAAAGACTGATTCCCTCAAACCAATGGATGACTCAATTTTTTTTTTCATTCAATGATGAATAAAAAAATTGATGTTATGCTAAAACCTTGATTAAGAAATTCATTAAAACCAAATTCAGCACTTCTTTGCATCGAATCAACACTCCACAATCAACAGATTTGACAAAAGGGTCTATGGGAGGCTCAAGAAACACACTTGTGTTTCACAGCGAATTGTTCAAGTTAAGATAGCCAAACACGATTGTATGAAAAAAAAGGACACGAAACAAATCGAAGACAGAGACAAGTGGATTTACATGGTCATATCAAGAACCGTGCATTACCTAATACAAACCAAAAGTAATATAAAAGATCAGTACTTTTTTGAATAAATATTTCTAATTTCTAATTCATAAAATAACTTCAAAATCCAACTTCAATTTTCATACCCTCTTTCTGTTTGCTGAGAAGTACAAGAAATTCCAAATTATTCAAATTGGAACTGTAACAATAAGCTTAATCCCACAATGTAGTAGGTTTTTTTCCACTTTCTGGAGCACTTAAACAATGTAAAAATAAAGATTCAATATTTCAATTATTAAACACAATGGAACGCACAGTTTGGTTGCCAAGAAAAGTCCAAGAAAAGAAAATCAAAAGATTTGAACTGGTGAGATAAAAAGTGACTGTGTACCTGAACATTGAACCTTCTTCAACCATTCACCTTTTTAAGCGGTACCATGAATACATAAGACAAAGCAATTGATCCCAAACGCAAAACATGGCCAACCACTAGAAAACAAGTCCAAATTCGTCAAAAATGTTGATACATATAAAAGATATGCATACCTATTTTTGTAGTAGAGAAAATTACTCGAATGGCATTCAACTCAAATTTGCAATAACTTACCCTAAAGTTACAAAATTTTCAATGAATGCAGAAATTCACCCATGCGTGAATCTTTTATTTTCACTACTTTAGTTTTGTCGGGGCCATATATTCTGCTAAGATACAAGCAACCATATCCTTTTCAATACCTCATTGCCAGTTGATTCTAATCTTCCAACTCCCTGACAATTTCACTAATGAAAATCATGTCAACATATTGCACCCTATACTATATCTAACTCTATCTATGAATAAAAAATGAGTACGAAAAAAAAAATTAAATTCAAGCCTTTGAGACATTATTCTTGTTTATCGCGACTCAGCTGACCCGTGATCCTTTCCGTCTTTCGGGCTTAGTCGGCAACCATAACAAAGAAAAAACCTAAACAAACTGAAATCACTTAAAGAAGAGTAAAAAGTTTCTGAAGTGGTAATCAAATGCTTACTCGAGAAAGAGACCTCCTTAAATCTAAAAGACCACTCAATATCAGCTTCCATGTACATAATTAAAAATAAAAACTGAGATATCAAGAACCATGACACTAAATTCAAACGGATGAAGTTCTCACCCAAGAGACCGATAGCAAACTGAGAACAAGACTTTCAAAAGGCTCACTGGAAAGGCTTTATAAGCTCTCTTTTTGCATGATTGTCAAACATACTCTTCAATAAAAAAGATAAAACAAAGGGATACCTTCACCTAGCAGAAGCCTTTAGTTTTTAAATTCACAAAACTGCATAGCATACAAAAGGAAAAAGAATAAACACTAGGATGAACACTAACAAAAGCACAACCCCATAACCAAAAAAATATAAGTGAAATAAAATGATAAATAAATGAATTCAATGTTTAGGGCACCACATGGCACAACATCGTACATAACAAAAATTGGCAATCAATAGAAATGTACAATTATATAGAGAACTAACCAGCAGAAAGACTCAAACTTTGGCAAGCGTAGAATTTATTGTCAATATAATCGGTCATGCAAAGTTGATACACCCAAGGCACCTACAAGAATCTATATAGCTCGATGGGAGGCCAATTAAAAATCATTGAAACAATGCATTGTGTTCAATATATCAAGTGATCAATTTAACTACTAGTATCTCGACGCATGTTTTTATTTTCTCAAAATGGACTCTAATAATCCAACAACATAATTAATGGTAGACCCAAGATCATCGAGAAGACTATAACAAAATATAATGAAGAAAAAAACTAATCTACAAAAACAATAAAACATACCAATGGAAGTGTGATGAACAACTTCTCTGACCACCAAATGATCATACTGAAGTACATAATGAAATATAGCACACAGAAATTAGGCCCACTACCAAGCCCACTTTAATCCAAAACAAAACAAAAACCATATCGAAAACAACTATTTAAACCTTCTCTATGTCATAGTGATGATGTAAACAATCGTGGATTGCCTAAAACCCACCACTATTAGTAAAATAGATCAATACAATTATGAATAAATACACCAAATTCACAAACTAACTTATAAAACACTGGTTCAATTTTCTTACCCTCTTTTGGTATGTCAAGGTAACATACAACAAATTCCACATCTTTGGCATTGGAACAGTAACAATAAGCTCAGTTTCGTAATGGGTAATGTTTTCTTTTCTTTCTTTTTTTAATATTTTTGGAGAACTTAAACAATGTAAAACCAAAGATACAATCAGTCCGTAATTAAACACAACAGAAAACACAAATTGGCAGTAAAGAAAAATCAAAGAAAATAATTATAAAGATATGAACTGGTGAGAGAAAGTGAATGTGTACCAGAACATTGAAGCTTTCTTCAACCTTTGTGTGTGGAATCATGAATACATAAAACACAGCAATTGATCCCAACACAAATCATAACCTACAACTCAAAGACAAACATATTACACATAGAAGAATATACATTTATATTCGGGGTGAAATGGCATTCGAGTGAAATTTGCGACAAACTTACCATAAGGCTACAAAAATTTCAATGACTTGCATTTTCAAAGAGAGGGGGGGAGCAACTTCAGAAGGTGTTTTAGGACTATTTAAGAGAACACCAGGCTAAAGAATAAAACAATCACACACTAATATTCCAAAACACAAACTAATATACCAAAACACAAACACACTAATACACCAAAACACAAACACACACTTACACACAAAAGATACATAGACCAATACCCTAAAACACACATTAATACAACAAAAAAATACACACTACACTAAGAAGCCAAAACACACTTGCACACACACACTAATACAACCATAATACACACACACCCACACACTAATACACCAACACACACATCCAGTAATACACTAAAAACACACATTATTACATTAAAACAAACACACAATCTAATACATTAAATTACACACAAATATTTAAATACGCCAAAACACACAAATACATAAAAAATTCACACATCACACATTAATACACCAAAAAACACACATGCACGCACTATAGTAAACCCAAAACACAAACACGTGTGGACTATAGCACACCAAAAGACACACACATGTGGACTATAGCACACCAAAACACACAAATATGTAAATGCACTAAAACACATACGCATACGAATACATCAAAAGACACACTAATGCACCACACACACACCAGTACATCAAACACACACTAATACACCAAAACACACATTCATACACCAAAATACACGCATTCTAATACACAAAAATACACATAAGCATAGTAATAAATAAAAATATGCACATAAAAAAAGCACGAAAATATGACTAAAAACATTAACTGAAATACACTAAACACTAGTGTGTGTGTTTGAGTGCGTTAATGAGTGTGTATGTTTTTTTGTGTGTGTCACTACAAAAAATTTTGAAATAGTAAATGCCAACAAAAAAAATAAATAAATAAACGACATCAATTCTAATACTCGGCATTTGAAGCCGGAAAGATATATGGTGGTGAATGAAGCCAAGTGATAGAAAAATGAAATGCAATTGAACAGGACTACAAGAATATATGAAAATACCTGGCAAAAATGATGTCACTTTGATGCTGCATTAAACTGGAAAAATCTTTAGTAAAGTGAAATAAAATGAGATACAGCAAAAGACGCGGACCAAAATAAAGCACATC